GTTTTAGATGCTTTTAATATACCCATCGTTTTATCTCTCACAACTTGAATATAAGATTTCAGGCTATCTGGATCCCAGAACTTTCGTTGTTTTGGACTTTTTCTAGGCATTCTGAAAAGAAAAAAACCCTGTAGACCAAACTAATACAAATATGGGCTAACTAATATTTGTATCACCACACAAATATGGGCTAGCTCATATTTGTAGCACCACGCTAGCCCATATTGCAACATCTATTCAAATATTAATAACTAAAATGCAACACAAATTAAAAGAAAAAGTCGAAAATATTATGAAAATATCAGCGTTTCGCTTGCGATGTGTGATAAAATATTAAATTTATTTTTAGTTTTCACCGAAAAAAAATTGAAATAAAAACATTCCTGAAAAATTTCTTGAACAGCGTCAACACTAACATGTGATTGTTTCAACGGTCACTGGACCTAGGTCACTGTAAGCTTTATTAGTTATTATTTTAGACTAAAGAATGTCTAGTCAAGCTATTGACGTATATATGGTGGTGTGTATTTCATATTAACTGCGATAGCCCATATTAGTAGCATAGCCCATATTTGTACCTTCTCCTCTAATATTGAAATAAAAACAATAACATTTTAATATAGCTATAGAATAATAATAGGAAGTAAAATGGTACCTGAAGCTTCATTTACACATAAATTATCAATTTGTTGGCAATATTTCATACTCTTATTTCCTAAAAATGAAATGTATATGAATTATATTGTATATTTATATAATATATTGTTATGATCCCAAAGTGTACACAAATTAAACAGACAGAGGAAAGGAAGAATAACCATACATGTAGATTAAAATAGAGGAATGAATTATATTCACATGTGTTTTTTTGTATATGTTAAAAGCGATATGAACTTATTGTAGAATTACATAAGTAAAATGATAAATTTAGGATAGTATGTATTAGATTTAAGGTAGATATGTATAATAAACAATTTTGTTTTGTAGCAAATATCATGGTGAAAACGTAAACGGTTTTTCCCATATTTTCCAAGGTTTTAGAAAACAAAATATAAGCGATTCAAAACTCTGGGAAATTATGTAGAAAGTTAATTATTCAGGGCCATTGTTAGGTTTGATGCCGATACCAAAAATGAGAAAGTTGAAAGTCATTTCTTGAGAACTCGGGGATTTGTGTGATTTTGAAGGACTAAAAGATGATTGGTTTCAAAAAAGAGGGTCGAAGGAAAATTTTTATTTTAATGGGATTTGGAAAAAAAAAGCTGGTTATTTATTGCTAACCTTAGAGAGACGAACATCGAGTCCTGAGAAGTGAACTAGTGCCGACAGTTTTCAACGGTGTAAATGAAATTTTGTAAGAGGTTAAAAAGTAGAAAGGTCCGGGAAAAAAATAAAGAAAAGGGTGGGGGCAAAATATACAAAAAGAAGAGAAAACGCCAGATAGTCCCAATGCCGACAGTCTGTGGATAAGTGAAGGGAGGGCTTCGGAAAATGTTGCAAGGCCATACAGTGACTATCCCGGTTTCGGAGTACTCTGTGACAGAGGAGGGTTTGTTTTAGTAGTTAGTTGTACATTTATAATGCACAGCCTACTAATAAGAAAAACTTAAAACAATTTTAATAAGAATATGTCGTATGACCAGTTTTCTTATTAATTCAACCTAGTTATAATAATTATTTTCAAGGCTGGCCTAGATATTAACCTAGCCAAAACAGATTACCTATCGACAAGTGAAGAAGACATAGAAGATCTACAGATTAATGACAAGATAATCAAAGGAAACGATAAATTCAAATACTTGGGGTTTATAATCACGAAAAAGTCAACAACAGAGGAAGAAATTACGCAAAGATTAGGACAAACAGTATGGTGGGATGGACTCCTAAATATGAAGACAAAAACACAGATTTATAAAACATTAGTGCGAAGTATTATGACATATGGAGCTGAAAATTAGATTATAAACAAGAAAAACACCAGTAAGATAGTAGCAACAGAGATGGAATGCTTGCGAAGATGCTGCAGAGTAACCGAATGGAGCCCCATAAGAAGGAGGAAAAGTGGACGATCCCGACGATCCTGGAGAATCGAAGTAGACGACGCCATGAGTAAGAGAGGCCTAAACGATGGAGAATGGGACAATAAAGAGGGACAATGGGACAAATTATTTTACTCATCTTTGCATTTAATTAAGAAAAGTCCAACAGAAACTATCCTGTTAAAAGAAACGGATAATTAATTAATTATTATTTAATAAGTAGGGGGAGTCCAGCAAGACATTCTAAAGAACAAGAACAAGACAAGAAGTGGACGATGAATACAACAGAATTAAAAGAAGAAACGAATTCCTAGTAAAAGAAGAAGACTACACCAGCCCATACGAAGTAAGAAAAATCATCAGGAGACTCAAAGGAAGCAAAGCACCAGGACAAGAAGGAATCCACAACATCACCCTCAAGGAACTCCCAAAGAAGATTATAGTACAACTATACTACATCTACAAATTTTGCTTGGAAAAAGACACTTTCCAAGTAACTGGAAACACGCGAAGATAATATCCCTCCTAAAACCCAGGAAAGATGGGAGAAGACCGGAAAATTACAGGTCTATTTCTCTCCTTGAAATAATGCAAAAAATACTGGAAAAAATCATCTTCAAGAGATTGATGAAACATACAGAAAGAAGAAGAATTATTCAAGAATCCTGTTCCTGTTTCCTCCTCAATTCGGATTTAGAAGAGGAAGAAATTGCGAACTCCAAATAGCAAGAATAATCAGCGATACGAAGATAAAATTCAACAGGAAACAAAAAACAGGACTAGCCATACTGGACATAGAAAAAGCGTACGACACGGTTTGGAAAAAGGCACTAATCTTCAAGATGTACAAAGCTAGACTTCCGCACTACTTAATCAACATTTTTGATATTTATTTATCTAATAGGACCTTTCAAATTTCAGCTGACCAAAAGATGTCAACACTGCCCTGAGGAATGCCTCAGGGCAGCATTTTATCTCCATTATTATACAATATTTTTGTTTCAGATCTCCATATAGATCACAGAACTTCAACAGCCCTATATGCAGATGATACAGCAGTGTATGCATCCGGAAAAGACGACAGAAGAGTCATCCGAAATATGGAAAACCACTTAGAAAGAATCACGGAGTTCACCAAAAAATGGAAAATCAAGATCAACGCGGAGAAGACACAATTCATCATGTTCACCCAGGAGACGAGACCACCAGCGAACGAGATTACAGTAGAAGGAAACAGGATCCAGGCAGCAGAATCAGTCAAATACCTAGGAGTCCACCTCGACAGAAGACTTAACTTCCGGATGCATACAGAAAAAACTAAGGTAAAAGGTAATATTGCTAAAAAACTAATTCTTCCTTTTATTCACAGGTCCAGCCCCCTATCGAAGGCCAAGAAGATTCAGTTATACCAGGCCTACGTTAGGTCGGTGATGTTGTATGCAGTCCCAGTATGGAGTTCAGTAGCGGAGACCCACTGGAAGAAACTTGAAACAACAAAAATATCGTGTTACCGGATCATCGAAGGAACATCATGATAAGAGAGAATAACGAATGCAACCATCAAAGAAAGGCTCCAGTATACATCACTGAGGGAGGTGGCTGAGAACAGGACTAGATACTTCTTCCACCAGGCCACAAGAAGACTCCATAAGATCAGGGATATCCTCGAGAAGAACAGGATCCAGAGGATACATAGACAAACCCATAGACTGATCGATCATCTGATCAGGGTCTAGCCGGATGGTTGCCGGAAAACAGCCAATCAGGGAAGTAGGTACGATGTCGTAAAAAGTACCTACAGAAAAAGACGATGAAACTACCCAAAGAAGTCCAGGATGCCGAGAGGGAGATAAATCAGAAGAAGATGGTGCAAAAACGGGACATTAGGAAGAAAGAAAGCAAAAATTGTTTAAGTTTGAAATGTGATATTTTATTAGGCAAAAAAAAATTTTATTTTTATTTTTATTATAAGACATTCTAAACCACTCAACGTTTTGGTCATTCAAACTGGTAACAAACTGGTTCCAAAAATGGCGCTCGAACGAAAGAAACACAATAGTCTTTGTAAAAATTATAGAAACTTTTTCAGAAATTGCAATTAATTTCTGAGGATTTTATCTCTAATACTAGATTTTCACTTAATTATACTTATTTATACACAAATTAAATAGTATTCTTACTCGGAAGATAATAAGGTGAACAGTTACATTTACTAAAAATGTAAGTACTCTGACACTCCTTCTCGCAATTCCACTGTGTGTATTTTCTGAAAACAATCATTTATTACAAAATATCAATTTCAATAATTTAGTATTGTTTTGTAAATAATCTTTTATACTTTCCTTATCAGTTATTTGTCTCAAGGCGATAAAAATTTGAATGAACCCTACATATGTTTTATATACAAATTATGTACTTAGGTAAACCATTTAGATCGTAATAAATATTTAAACCAATATAATATATAGACCCAGTCCATGATACTATAACAAAACAGTAGTAGTAATATACCTTCAACCTCCAAGCCATAGGCCTCTTTGACACCCAATTATATATCAAATAAGTCGACTGCTGAGTCTATATATTATATGTCATTGCTAATTTAGCGGTACATAACCTCAACGGATCTAAACAATTATCTGGAATCAGAGATCAGGAGCGAATACAAATCGTCTCCCCTTTTCGTTAACTTTTTAGTTTTCACATTTTTCAATTACACGTTATTTCCAAGATTAAAAAAAAGTGTGAAACTTGTTGAAAGCAGAAAAAGGAGAGCTTTTTTCGGCCATTTCAGAAATAGGGCATATTTGATACTGCAATTCATAATGGTAGGCAAAATTGAGGAAAGACAAGGGCATGGTAGAAAACTCGTTGCATGGCTGTGGAAATCAACCTAACAAAAATGTTACTACATATCAATATAAGAATAAGAATAAAAATAAAATTTCCCATATAATATACCTGTAATACACCAATCTCCGTTCGTTGGCAAAATAGCATTGTCTCTTCTTAATCGGTACGCTTCTTAAGTTCGCACTTGCTTCTCTTACTGATGGTTTTATTGAAAATCTAGCTTCTACTCCTGGACTTAGAAGAGTACCGAAATCTGCCATTTTTGGCGTCTCGATAGGGTTGCTGATTATGACCTAGAAAAGACGGATATTTTGAGCATTTTTAACAACATTTTTAAATTTTTTGTATACTTCATACATTTCTGGATGTGATTCTTCCTTGATACTTCCTTTTTTCCAATATGGTTTTGTTTTGTTGTGTTTATAAACGTTGTTTTAAAATCAATAAACAATTTAGTACAAGGAGTAAGATATGAAAACAAAATCAAAATTATTTTACTTAAGGTGTAAGAACCGCTAGAACCTTGTAGAGTATCATTGTTATTTCTTTGTCAACCATTTTCCATCCACTCCTGAATGTAGGTCTCTCCCAATTGCTTCCATCTTTCTCTATCTTGCGCCAATCTAATCCACTGTTTGCCTGCCACTGCTCTTATGTCATCTACCCATCTTTTTTGAGGTCTTTCCATGCTTCTTGTTGTCGTTCTTGGTCTCCATTCTAGAATTCTCTCTGTTGTCATTATATCGGGCTACGTGACCTGCCCAGCGCCATTTCATTTTTGTAATTTCTTCCACAATATCCCTAATCTTCGTTCCACGTCGTATCTCGGTGTTTCTAATCTTGTCTCTTAGTGATATTCCAAGCATGATTCGTTCCATTGCTCTTTGCGTTGTTTCTAATTTTTTGGCAGATTTTTTGGTAAGTGCTACTGTCTCCAAGCCGTAGGTACAAACAGGTAGTATGCATGTGTTATACACCTTTTTCTTTAAGTTTATAGGAATGGAGGTGTTTTTCAAGATATGTGCTAGTTTGCCGAAAGCGCCCCAAGCCAGTTGTGTTCTTCTTTTAATTTCAGCATCTTGATTTGGTTTTCCTAATTTGATAACATGACCTAGATATAAAAAATGTTCCACATTTTCTATGGTATGATTTTGTATTGTTATATTTGTCTGGTCTCGGCTCAGTATTTTTGTTTTGCTGTAATTCATTTTTAAGCCTACCGCTCCTGAAACTGCATTTAATTGTTGTAACATATCATTTAGTTCTTGGATATTATCGGCTATTAAAACTATGTCATCTGCGAATCTCAAATGGTTCAAGTATGATCCGTCGACGTTGATACCCTTATTGCTCCATTCCAGTTTCTTAAAAATATCTTCTAGAGCAAGGGTAAATAGTTTGGGAGAGATGGTGTCTCCTTGTCTTACTCCCCGTTGTAGTCTTATGGGATTAGTTTTTGTGCTTTCGTCAAGCTTTATTGTAAAGCATTGTTATTTATATTCTAGTAACTACTGCTCAAAAAATAAAGACGGTGGGTGGGGGTAAAGACCCGCACGGAGTAAAGCCACTAATGAGCTTTTTGAATTTACCGGGCAATATCCTAGAGCTGGCCGCTACGTGGATGATCGGTAATTGCTAAGACCATTAATTTGTTTTAATGGTTTAAGGGTATGGTACAAAGAATAATAGGTATGATACTTCCAAGCGCGAAATAGGGACGAGTTTTTACATTACGTCACAATGAGAGTGATTTTAAATATTCCCCGTAAGAACGTTAGCAATCAGAACACAATTAATTTTTAATTGGCAATAAAAAGTCATTTTAATAGATTAATTGAGTTGGTATCGAACTATTTCGGATTTTTTGGTGTTTTATTATTTGGATTGAAAAAAATAATAAATAATACAGTGAAAAAAAAAAATAAATCTGTAAAATAAATTTGTTTTAGATTTAAATTTTTTAAATTTCAAAATGATTTTTTTGTTTTTCGCTTTTTAATCATAGAAAGGTAACCTTCGTGAATTTGACAAGCTCGCTTTTGATTTTCATGTCTTATTTGGCGTTAGTGACGAGGAGGAAAAAAGGCCTTCGTCTAGTTGCACGTAAATGGAAGAAAATAATTGATCATTAATTATCTGCACTAAAATCGGAGTAAACAAATCAAACACAAAGTTTTAAGTTAAATTTTTTTTTAATTTTCTCTTATTTTTCATATCTTCTTTAAGTTTTAGGTTTAATTTCTTAATTCTAAAGTATATTCGAGATCGGAAAAACAGATGTTTGATTTTGTAGTCACATTCAATTTCCTCCGATATGTCAATTAGTATTTGTAAATAATTTTTCCCTGACTTTAATCGATGTTCAGATCCATTGAAATTATTAAAAATAATATTAAGTTCATGCAATTTTGCCACCAATTCTTCTGGAGGTTTCCTTAGGCTGCCTTCGAATACTTGATTAATCCATGTGTAAGTGGAAGTATCCGTAGTTTTAGGCAGATCTAATTTTTTACACATATAAACACTGATATATTCCAGTGCATCATAATGTAATTGGTCTAATACGTCCATGGTCTAGTTCTTCTACATCTAAATGTTCATCTAGATTGTGTAATTATATGTTCCACAATACTCTTTGATTCCCGTTTGGAAAGCCTTTTCTACCTTTTAAGTTGATTTATGGATAAACTTTTTTAATCTGGTAGATGCAGAGAAGGAACCTCGTCAGCCTTCAGTTTGGGTCCTGTCTTTGATCCATATTGTAGCAATTTATGCTGCAAATTTCTTTTAAAGTCTAGCTACAACTGAGTTGTTATCAACAGGTCCTCGAAGACACTTCGTCTCAAAACCATATAACCTATGTAGGGTCATACGTCGCCATGTTACCAATTCCAACGGTAACTTAAACATCCTAATTTGTAATTATATATAATGTAAAACAACTATAAATTTATAACATTTAACGGGTTTTGACCCATATATTTTGGTGGCTCATAGCATGTATACCCCGTTTACACTGATGATGGAATCAACATTCCGAAAACGTTCTGTAATGTAATTGTAATAGCCCGTTTGGGCATTTTATTATATACCTTTTATAAAGGATTTGAAATAAAAAGTTTTCCTATGTATTTTAATGTGTTGCAGTAGTTTTTAAAACTAAGTGTATTTACTAAGTGTATTTACTGTTAATATAATAGTTTGACAAATAGTTGACATTTTAAAAATTTTTCACTTACTAACTATTCTGATATTTTGGCAACGCTGTGGGGTTCTAACGACGTAAATCTTGAATCACGTGCAAGTTTTTTTATATGAAAAATGCTATATATTAAAACTTAAACGTGCCACAAGGAAACACTTTGAGAACTGTTATGAAAGTACTACTGTACTAATGTACCTTTAGAAAGAGGCCACTGTGTTTTATGTAGGGATGTGCTAGTCTGCGATTTCTTTGGAGCAGTGACAGAATGCGATTGCTCCGGCTACGTCACTGTGACAAATCGCAGTGATTTTTCGGAGCAGTTGACCTTGGTCCTATAAACGCTGCTTTCTGATTCTATTACCGAGTAGCATGTAATACTGCGAAATTGCGATTGCGCTATATCGAGTAGATGTTGGGAGATTGCTACTTTTAAAGTATTTTAAATTTATTTGTAGTATTAGAAATATTATAGCGATATCAATGATACTGTTAGGCTGTAATAATTTTATGTCTTTAAAATACATGGTACTCGGTTATAACTTATTCTGTCTTAGTTTATATGTGACCACCTCGCAACTCTAAGTTCTTGGAATCCCCGAACTGTAAAACAGTATGTCCATTCAGTCATATAGTATAGCGATTACGCAACATATAACGAAAATTGTTAAAGCTGTTTTACGATTTATAATTTGTTGAAAAATTTTAAATTGGTGTGTAGTTTCAGTGATAGCGATGGATAGGAAAAAGACGGCGCATATTTGGAAGTTTTTCACACCCCAAGACCAAGCTAACGCCATGTGTAATATATGTAAGCAAGTACTTAGTTATAAAACATCAACCACCAATTTAAAAATACATTTTGAAAGAAAGCATCCTTTAGTAAAATTATCACCAGATCTAACTTTAAGAACCCGTGTTTTATCGAGACCGGTACAAATAGCTACTACCACCCAAGTTAATCCTATTCAACCAGGTAACTCTGAACCATCCACATCTTTATGTACGAGTATATCTTCTTCGGCAGGTCATGGTCAGGAGTCAAATGTCAGAAGCAAAATTCAGACTTCAATTCCGTATACCACTAAATTGTTAAATATTCATTCGAAGAAAAAGTTTGACAATGCCCTAATGAGATTGTTTACAATAGATTTGCAACCATTTAGTTTAGTTGAAGATACGGGCTTTAGACATTTTGTAAATACTTTAAATCCAGCATACCAACTGCCAAGTAGAAAATACGTTACAAACACTTTATTACCAGCATTATATGAAGAAAAACTCCACAATGTACGGGAAATGGTAAAAACTGTAAGCTCCGTAACTATTACTACTGATTGTTGGACATCGATAAATACTGAGAGTTTTATGGCTACCACTATTCATTTTGTGACCAAAGAGTTTGAGCCAAAATCTATTTTACTTGAATGTAGCTCATTTCACGAAGCTCACACTAGCGTTAATTTGGCTTCTGAATTGAATCGGATTACAACTGAGTGGGGTTTAGAAAATAAAATTTTGATAGCGATTTCTGATATCGCTGCCAATATCAAAAAAGCTATTAGAGAAGAATTGAAATGGCCACATTTTGGATGCTACGCCCATACCATTATTCTTATTGTGAAGGATGGCCTTGAGGAAGCAGAGCCTACTATCAACAAAGTTCGGTTACTAGTAGCACATTTCAAACGCAGTACATTGGCTATGCTGAAACTGAACGAAATACAGAACCAATCGGGTAAGGAGCCTCTGAAATTGTTACAAGATGTACCAACACGGTGGAATTCCACTTTTTACATGTTGGAAAGAATCTTACAGATGGAGGAAATTGTTCGCTCAACAGTCGCATTTCTAAACAGTACTAATTTACCCATTATATCTGTTGAGGAGTGGCAGTTGCTAAGCGATATTAAAAAAGTCTTACAACCAATGGAAGAAGTGACTAAAATTATTTCTGGTCAAAAATATGTTACATTATCATCTGTAATAATTTTAACGAATGGAATTGAAAACACATATAATGACATGAAAAAAGAAAAATTGTCACCCTTAATACTAAACATGATCACTAAGTTTTTAATTGGTATTTCAGAGCGATTACCTTTCCTAGAAAATTCAAAGAGTTTGATTGTGTCTACGTTTTTAGACCCGCGATTTAAAAACTATGGGTTTTGTAGTGAAAGTAATGTAGAAAGGGCCAAAAAGCTCGTAATTAATTT